GGGGAGCTGTTGCCCTGGGAGAGGTGGGAAGGTGCCCACCGGCCATCACATTATAGACCAGTCATATGTGTGCCCTGTAGGTTTCTCTCTGACATTTGAAAAGAATTTTGGGTCTGGGTTAAGCTAATGTGACTTAAAGAACCTGCTTTTACCAAAAGGCAAAGGAAGACACTATTCACACACACGGCTGGCCAGGTCCACAGTCATGACCATGAGAAAAACAAAGGCCATTTCACCAGGACAAATGCCCATCGCTCCGCGGCCACACGCGGCTGGGCCTGAGGTGACTGTTGAGAGCTGGATCTCGAAGTCAAGGGAACGCTCCATGAATGAGCTGGTCGGAACGCTGTCAAGGTCCCCTCTCCTGTCCCAGGACCCGCCCCCAACAGGCAGGCTGAGGCGCGGGCTACCTTGGCTCGCTGGTTCTGGAACCACACCTGGACCACACGGACACTCAGCCCTGTCTCTGCAGCCAGCGTCTCCCTCACCTTGAAAAAACAGAGCGTTAGAAACATGAAACACGGTGTCTGGGGAAAGGCAGGCACTCTATGCAGAGCACGGGAGGTCTGGTACCGGCGCCGGCCACTGCCCGACGTGCAGCCAGATCGAAGCATGAGAACAGAGGGTCTCCCCATGCAAACAGGGAGGAATAACTGTCCATTTAGAGGTAAACAGGAGGTTTTTGGGGCGTCTCTGACTCTGGAAATCAGGCCTTCAGGTGGCTCTCGGACCTTCGCAAAGCCTGTGCCCAGCCGACCACCATGCGTGCGCACTGACTGAGCCACTCAAGGAGAACTCGGGGTGAAGGCCACCAAGCAAAACACAAGTGGTTCTCGCTCGCCCTCTTCCTGTCCTAATTCACTGACCTAGGTTTTCGGTTCTGTCCTCACAGCTCTGGGGGACCAGGTGTTTCACCAACACTCATATTCAGTTACCCCGCCTGAGCCCGGCCCAGAAAGAATGAGACGGGCCTTCGGGATTCCGCAGAGCAGATGCTCTGGGGCCGCGCAGAGGGGGGGAATGGGGACCCCCACCGTGTAGAGCTGTGCTTAAATACCTGCCCTCCGTGCAGACGCATGGCAAGGGGCCAGAGCTGCACAGCCCTGCTGGTTGGGTTCGGGAGGAGCTCCCTGAGTGAGCACATCAGGAGGGCGGCCAGGGGGCCTTGGGAAGGACTCCCCTCATCAGCTCCATAGCTACAAGTGGGGTGAGCAGACCATGTAAAGCACAGCCTTCTGAAGACAGCTGTGCCTAGGGACCCTCTCCGTCCTTCAGAGGCCCAGCCCAAGAGCCCCTGTTCTGCAAAGCCCAGCTTGGTTCCCTGACAGAGGTGGCCTTCCCCGGCCGCCCCCCTGCCCTGGCCACGCGGCCCTCTCTCCAGGTGCAGCAATGTGTGCAGGTGTCTGTGCTGGGGCTGGAGGCTGCCGGGACCCGCTGGGCACAGGCATGCGGGGGTGGGCGTTCGGTGCACGGACACAAGCACCCGCGCGGGTGGTCACTTGTCCTGGGTGAGCCGACTGCAGGCCATTTCCCTTCCCCCAGAACCTCCCGGAGCCCAGCAAGAAGCCTGAGCAGCTTGTGGTGAACATTTCCAAGGCCGGGGGGGTGGGCTCTGTTGTTGCTCCTCCCCTGCTTCCCCCACACGCCCAGCTCAGTGGGGCCTGGCCAAGAGCTGGCCGTGGCGTGGAAGGTGGGTGCGTGTGAGTGGGAGTGAAATGCAGGAGGGCGTCCATGGGCTTGCGGGTGACAGCCTCTGGCCTTCCGCCATCTTCGCGAGAACAGTGTCAGGTGCCACTCTCCGTCAGCCCGACCCTGGAGGAGAGGCTGGAAGACGGCGGCACCTCAGCCCCACGGGGCTGCAGCCACACCCGACCCAGCCCAGGAACCGCTGTGCCCTGGAAACCACTGAGGTGGTGTCTGTTATGGCAGCGAACCATGACTGACACAGATAAGGAAGCAGGAAAAACAATGCTAAACTGTCCATGTATTTCTTCCATGGATTTCAATTAAAGGGCTTTCTTATTTGTATCACATAAATGACAGTCACCAGCACATGACAAGCAGCAATGAATGGCAGGTATTGAATAAACAGGCCAGTTCTTTGTGGCAGAGACTAATGTCCCCAACACCCGCCCTCCCGCCTCCTATTAGCAATCGAGCCCCCAAGCTTCAGCGCAGCACGTGGTCACCCAGGCAGACTCACTTCCCAGCTCCCTGCAGGAGGCAGTCGCGGGCCAGATGTTGGCCAAAACATATGAATGAAAGTGATGCGAAGCATCCTGGGTTTGTCCCTAAAAAGGCAGCTGCTTGCCCTCCGCTCCTCTTTCTCCATCATGGTGGCTGCCAGCAATGGTGAGAACTAAACAGCGCCAGCCACGCGATGGACAGCAGGGCGTCCCCGGCAGCCTAGGACTGTCACCTCCACACGTGACGCATGAGAGAAATAAATGTCTCTCTCATTCAACCTCTGTTGTGTTTTGTTTTTTGTTTTTCATGAAAATTCACAGCAGCCTGATCCATAACAGGCCCAAGTTGGAAACAACCCAAACACCCATCGACAGGTGAACGAACAAACGATGGTCCGTCCGGATGGCGGGATGCCATTCAACAGCCAAAGACAAGGAAATGACACACAGATGAACCCCCGGTCACCTCCCCAAGAGGAACAAATGGGAGCAAAACACAGAGCAGACCACCAGGCTCTGCAGTGTGGCTCTCGGTCCGGGCACCGTGGTCACCCCGAGTGGCACCTGAATTATTCCCATTGATCTCCGGGAGTGACAGATGTGAGCACGCGGCCAGCGGAGTGGGTACGCTCACACAGAAGCTCGGGCGGTTCTGCTAGAGGCCTAGCCATGGCCTCAGACCCCGGAGTCCCCCACCAGGCTCAAGGCCACTGCACAGACTGAGCAGCGTCCCACCGCCCCAACCCCAGGTGCCCGTGACCACGCCACAGGAGTGGGGTGACCATGCAAACGTGGGCTGGGCCCTCCCCCCTCTTCCCTCTCCTCCCTCTTCCCTCCTGTACCTTCCTGCACGGCTTGGACGACACCTCAAACGAGGCCTTGAACGCCCTCCTCTGCTGGGTGGTCAGGATGGTTCGGGGACGTTTGGGGCGCTTGTGGTCCTTGCCGTCCTCGGCAGCTCCTTTCCCTGCCCCGTGGGCGGCCTTGCAGAGACTGTCTTCATCGTCACTTTTGCCTGAAAGAAGCAGAAACCAGGGTGTCCCTCGCAGCCACTGCCTGGAGCCGCGCGATTCCCGAAGAGGCGCTCCAGGAGGCTTTCCATAGGAGTGCCACGTGGTGCTCCAATGGGGAGGCCCAGGCAGGGCCAAGAGGCACCCTCAGCGAGACCTTCCTCCCTGCGTGTCCTCGCCGGGACCTGGGGGCGGGGGGGGGAGTGGCTTAGCGCTCTACAACTCGGTTTCCTGACTGCAAAACCCGGTGTAAGAGAACCTACTTCTTTGGGGTGTTGAGAGGATTCCATGAGCTGACAGGTAAGGCACGCAGAATGCTGCTCAGCATAACATAAATGCCCAGTCAGCACGTTGTCACTATTGTGTAGGTGCCACTTCTCAATCTAGACCTGAGAGAGGACCCACAGGACCTGCAGTGGGTCACCCGCAGGCACAGATGACTGAGGATGGACAGACAATTCCTTCTATGGGGCACAGCTGCAGTGTTTTGGCCAGGTTCAAGCCTCGGACTAATGAAAGGACAGGGTCCTCTCATTGCCACGTGCAAGTCCCAGCTGGAGGGCAGGGCCCTCCCAGCACAATCATAGCCAACGGCTGTGGTTGTAAGCTTGAACCTATGGTCCAAACACGTGGCCCCACGTGCCTTGTGATAGAGTTCAGGTGCATGTAGTTAAGTGAGGTTGAAACTCATGAGAATGCTGTAAACAACTTGATCACACCCCTACTTTGCCTCGTGGCATCTGCTATAAAATGAAGACATGGCTTGTGTGTGCTGGCGCTGTCTCCTCATCAGGGAGCAGCGTCCCACCGAGACCCAGCTGTCATTCTCTTATCTGTCTTTTCTCAATCCTTTCACCCCCCCACTCAGGGTCACTGAGCCAGGCTGAGCTGGCGTGGCACATAAGGCGCCCTGGGCTGAGTATGCCATGGCCATGCCGGCTCCCCACATCCTTCCACTCTCGAAGCGGTGAGCGCTACACGGGAACGTCTGAGGGAATAAGCCCCCAGCACAGGGCACGCTCTTCCCAGCCCCTCCCCAGCCCCCAGAACTCACGTTCCCTGGGCGGGGGGCTGCTTCTAGGGTCTGGGGACCCGTGTGGGAGAGACGCTCCCTTTTCTCTAGGGACCACAGGTGGCGGCTCACGCAGTCTCTTTACCTCCCGAAGAAGAGGATGTGAGAACACTGGTTCTAGGATGGGAAGATGGGAAGCAGAAGGCTGGGCAGGGGCAGGAGGAGGGTGTCGGGGAGGGTGGGGACGGAGAGAGGACAAGGCTCGGGTTGGTCCTCTGCTGGTGCTGTTGTTGTGGGGTACATTTCTCCCTCTGCGGCCTCCTCTCTCCGCCCAGGCGCCCCTTGCCCTCCAGGAATCACCTCACGCTCTAGACTAGGGTGTGCAGCCTTCTCTGTAAACAGCAGAGCAACTGTGTTGTGTTTTTTATTGTCTAAAGTTTTACATGTGTCTCCTATTTCCCCAATTGACCCGCCCCCCCAGCCATTCCTACCCCAGGCAAGCCCCACCGCCCCAGTGTCTGTGTGTCCATTGCAGAGCAACTGTTTTACTCTTGCAGGTCTACGGTCTCCATGGCAGCTGCCGACTTTGCTGTCATCTCGCGACGGCAGCTGCAGACACGAGTGGGCACCGCTGTGGGCCACTGTGTGCCACCAGGTGCCCTGCTCTAGGCCCCCTGACCTCCTGGCCCACCCTTCCAGGCTCGGCGCTGGGCAGCAAGCACAGATCACTGACACGGAGGAGTCAGTGCTGGAGCTGCTGTGTTCTCTCCCACAGCCGGTGACACACTAACAGAAAGGCCTCCACCCACCAATCGCCACGGAGTGGCAGGTGTCCTGGCCAATCCCAGCGAGAGGTCCTCCCGGGGGAGGGCTGGAGGGCCTCTGGCACCTCCCAACATGCAGGCAGGTGGCACGACCCAGCTGCCAGGGGAAGGCAGGCCCCAGTTCCCACCGCCTGGCTCCTGTCTGCTGTGCTGTCCATATTATGGGCACAGCAGTGCCCCCGACTGTCCGGGGAGTTCCAGGCGGCCTGGCTGTCGCCGAGGCTCTGGCCTCGCTCTCAGCCTGACTCTGACCCCCGCTTCTCCAGGAAAGCGGGCCGTGCCTACAACACACACAAATCGATCTGCCCACAAGAAGAAACGCCTTCCAACAGCAGGGACGGGAGCGAGGGAGGGGAGACCCCTCTTGGTGCCAGAGGCTCCCCATCCCAACGCAGCCCAGCGACCCCTCCTCGTTTAAGCTGACACCCCCCGTGGAGATGAAAGCGCCATAGCCTCTCTCAGGACAAACGTCGGCCCCCCGGGGGCCACTTGGACACACTCAGCACCCCGACCCTCGTGGGGCGTGCAGACATGAGGTCTCCGCACAGCCGGCCGAGGGAAATGGATTTGCTTGGCACAGACTTTGAAACATGCATCTCAGGGCCTTCTCTCCCCTTTTCTTGTAAAGAAAAAGTCTGGAACGGCTCAGGCTGTTGCTTCCCCGCCCGGCCTCCCACCGTTTATGACATAAACAGTCACAGATGAAAGGCCCGCGTTTATGGCCCAGGCAGGCTGGGCTACCTGTGGGGCCTGGAGGATGCATCTCGGGAGGCTGGAAAAATCCCAGAGCCCATAAAAGGGGCAGAGAGATCTGAGC